TGGACATCTCGCTTCCGCTCTCTTCAGCTTCATCCTCGGAAACGCCATGGCTTCGTCACGAAGCCGAGAAGATGCTTTCCATCGAGGGCTGTGCACACGCGGGTCTTCCACACGTCGAAGTTCTCAGCGCCGACGAGGCGTGGGAAGTCGTCGCTTGAGGCTTGGATTGAGCTGATAACCTATTGAGAGGTAAGCTGGGTGATGAGAAGGAAGAGACTGACTTGTAGATGGTAAAAGAGGAAGTGATAGCATTAGCGTGTAATTAGGAGGCGCAGCAGCGCTGACGCAGTGGTTGGCTCCGAAGAAACTACACTACTACATACTATACCATAGATACTGCTATAATAACAGTTTCCGAAGCCCTTTAGTAAATGATCAGCAACTTACAGAGGGAGAAAGTACAGTGTGTCACGATGCACAGAGGCAAATATTGACAATTGTGACGTTGAAGTGGAACACATATCATAAGCAAAAGTAAAAGTATATTTTCAGGAAGGGCTCTCTTCATTACACACTCTTAGAGCGGCGGTATTGGGCTCAGAGCGCCTGTGTCTGGATCGGGCCGATCGGTCTACGGCGTCAGCGTGCGTCTGCTCGAGCGGCGTGGTCTTGAGCTGCACGAACAGCTATTGCATCTGAGCGACATCCTCCTCGTCCTCGGTCGTCTTCTTGCCGGGCACGGTCACGGGCGTGGACTCCTGCTTCTTGAAGTCCTCTTTAAGCGCCTTGAGCTTCGTCTTACGGGCGTCTCTGAGCACACGATGGTCAGCCCCCCCCCTGGTTCTGCAGATCGGCCACCATCTCTCCAATGTGGCCTGCTTGACCACGCGGTTGGCCTTCTCCCTGTACGTCTTGATAAGATGGAGATTGCCTGAAGCTGAGCCATGCCCATCATGGCCTTGGCCGCTGTCAGTGGTGTTGCCGTATGTGGTGTCGTCCTTGTTGTAGCCGGCCGCCATGCCGCTGTCCCGTCCGTCATGCCGCTGTGCTTGTTGCCGCCATCCTTGGTGCGGCTGCCCATCATTCTGCCACCCTTGGTTCATGCCAATGTAGGTGATGCCGTGCCGCTGTACGGGGTACCGCTGTACTGGGTGCCACCGTCCTTGGTGCCGCCGTCCGTCTTTGGTGCTACAGTCCGTCATGCTGCCGTCTGTCTATCATGCTGGTGCCCTTGGTGCTACCGTCGGTCATGCCGATGTACGTGGTGCCACCTCCCTTAGTCCCACTGTTCATCTTGCTACTGTTCTCCGTGCCGGGGGGGGGGGGGGGGGGGGGGGGGGGGGGGGGGGGGGGGGGGGGGGGGGGGGGGGGGGGGGGGGGGGGGGGGGGGGGGGGGGGGGGGGGGGGGGGGGGTGGG